ATAGTATTAACACACTTGTGAATTATTTATTAGAGTAAACCACAAAAGTATTTAAATGTATTAAAAAATTAAATTATCATTTTAGTTTTTACTCAAACCTAATTTGAGTTATGTTTTACTTCGAGACTAATATTATTTTTTCACATATTGCAAAAGAAAACTTATAGAAACGTCGTAACATAGTAAAATCTTGAGCCGCGCAGACTCAAGTTAACGCTGCTTTACCTGGACTAATAGACAGTCTGAACCATGTGGTGTCGGCCGTAGATAATAAGTGTAATAATAATAGTCCATATGTGGGAATAAAACACAACGTTAAGAACAAGTGCATAGAACTATTTATTTTCACTTTTCATTGGGGAGCGAGCTGGCGTAGAGGCTAGAGCGCGGGACTTCGGTCCGTGAGGTTCCGGGTTCGATCCCCGCCAAGTCACCAATGGATTTTATCTAAGTGATAATGCCGCAACCCCTAGGTCTAGCCTGAAGTAAAGTGAAAAAGAATTCCAGGCTCGTGCCTAGCGTCCTAGGACAATAATAAAAAAACAACTTTTCAGTGGCAATATTACATGGGAAAATAAGAATACTGGACCAGAACTGCAATGTACGTAATGAAATACAGTATATTGATAGGACGTTTGGTGCACGTGATGGTTTATAATATACAAGTAAAAAAGAAAAAAAATATTTTATTTGTTTCTATTATCGAGGTGAGATTTCCATTGAGATGTGAAGATAAAAAAAGTTGCTGCTAGCCCTTTAGTTGATTGCCCGCTTGTGGCAATATTTAGGATTTAATCACGATATTACTTTCCCACTCGATGGTAGTTAATTAAACCAGTGGAGTAATGATTACTATTAACAACAAAGTAAATCAATAATTGAAATTAGTAAATAGTCGTTTAATTAACACTCATATTGGGGTTTTAAATGCCACAATGGGGGACAACAAAAATTACATTTTGTTTTAAAAGGCTCTTTTTCGCCCGAGCTCCAGATTGAGACCGAATTGAATCCGAGGTAGATTATTTGTATTTCAGTTTCAGTTTTGTTGGATAACAAGATGACCTTCATAATTAAACATTTACTAAGACGTTGTAGGTATTACCACAAATTCGCTTGGAGGAATTCAAGTACGGTATCGATGTATGAAGTAATAGTAGCCTAATAGTCCGTCTGTGGATTATTACGCTTGCCCCCTCTGTCATTGGCTACCTATACCATTTTAGTCACCATCATTTAGTAGAATAGTGGTTATTGGTGTTACTAAGTTGCAGAGCATGACCATATAATATTTGTTCACGTCTTAACATGAAAATGAACATAACCAGTAACCATACTGAGCTGCCATTACAATATAGATGAGTGTACATTATTATTTTTTTTTGTGTGTGGTACCGAGTCTCTTAACATATAAATAAGAGGTTATTTTACCTTAATTTCTTCTTATGGCGAAGAACTGTGAGTTGCTGGAGGGAATGGGAACGTGACCCCTTGCATCAACCTCCCAATGGAACATTGTACAGAGTAGCAGTACCGCCGTGGTGATACATCCAATCTCGGGTAAATGAACGTTAAATTTTAACATTGTGGTGACTTACATTTTAAGTAAGAAAGGACTGGACGAGACGGTTCAATTTTTACTCTTTGTTGCAATCAATATTCATTTACCTCGTTTGTGGAATTCACCATCCTTTCAGAAACTTATTGGAAACTCCCAATCTGAAAAAAGGGCTGTGAGACTTAGTTACAGAAATTATTAGGAAACAATTCGTCAATTTGATTCCGCACATGTCATGTTCAGCTCTGAAGCTCATTTAGATGAGAGGATCACACAGGGGATCTACAATTTCAAGATACATGACACGTCTTACCATTGAGTAGGTCTTATATGTCTCCAAGAATAGCATGGTCCTGAATACACACGGATGTGTAAGTTCGACGTTGGTACTGGAACCCAAAAGCGCATGAAATACAATACAAAGAAAAAATATGCGGGAAATAGGGTCACAATGCCAACCCATTTGCCCAATCTTTTAAAAGTGTGGCAGAAATTTGTCGGGACGAGAGCTCCTAGGAGTCAATTGAAATTCTTATGTACATAATAAGAGACAAAAGGCTACCATGATGCTTCCTGTATAGATGTCACAGCTATTTTAAAAGCTGAAGGAGACTTTGGTTGTGGTCCCTAGATTAAACACGCCTATAACAGAACATATCGTGGAAATAATTTAACAATGATAGAGTACGTGTCGTACTGGTTGGCGTCAAGATGGGAATTTATCTTGCTACATTAGGTCTTTAAAGCTCACTTGACGGTGTAGTAGACGTCTACGACATCTGCTCATAGAAGGCACCCGCCTACAGTACATACAACCAAAGCGGTATGAGAGTTAATCTATATTTAAATATTGTAGATTACATTTATAAGATTTTACAACGTAATCTTACTAATATTTTTATATTTCAATAATCATTCAAAAATTTGAAATTAGTTTAGTGTGACTCTTTGATTGAGGTTAATGTAGTATGATGTATCGATGTATTGCATTTTGTGTTTATGTATTTTTCTCAGTATTCTTTTATTAGAAGCAGTTTTGCTTGATTTCGTGCGGGGGGGGGGTTTGGGTTATAGTATGTTAAGTAATAGTATCAATAGTTTAATCCGTGGTATAACTATTCATATTTATTCATGGATACCTCAATCATGAATGAATGAATGAAATAATATTTTATTTCCCATTGATTATTTACAGATAAGTACATTGTATTTTTTTTTCTTTACTAAAATATGATACAGCGAAACATTACTAACTAGATAACAAAACAAAAATTATATACTGTAGAAATAAGTAAATAAAAGTTTAAAAAAATACATTATATAAGAAAGGAAAAAGTCTACATAGGCAGGACCTATGCGTAGACTCGGGTTGCAAAAAGATTAATTTAAATAGGAAGAAAAAATATATAGGAGAAAAAGAAATCGTATAATTTTAACTTTTTTTTATTTGTCTTGCTTGAAACTGAATTTTTAGTGTTCTGGAATAAATTGACGGTAAAAAAAACCTCTTTGTGCAAACAGAGGTAATTTATAAAAATCTTGTGAAGATTGAAGATAATATATTGAAGATAATATATTGAAGATAATATATCAATCATAAATAATATAATAATATATTGGCAATATTCTTTATGTGTTCAGCTAACCATGAACAACTCAATAACAGTATTTATCGTTGCATCTACAGTATATTCAACATGATGAGGTATTGGCAATTATCTGGGTGTGTTCAACCAACTATGCATATTTCCTCTCAAAGCTATCTATCGTGGCACCAATATTCGGAGTCTATCGCCAGCCAGAGTATGATCTATATACTCAAATGTATGTAGTACATTAAACTGTGCGTAGTGTTGTGTTGTCGAACATTATGTAATGCTTACACAAGTCAACCCTTCTGATTGAGATAAGTATATGTATTCTGACCCGATGATGGAGCTATAATTTCTTAAATTTACTCAGTAATCTACCTCTAATGTGTTTACTAAGAGGTTCGGAATATTATTACTACCTTAGATTATTCTGATAGTTCAAGGGCAATCTTACTTGACAACATGTTTTCTGAGGTTGTGTTTACTAAATTGCTAAGCTCAGATGATGACGGTGAGCAGGAGCTATAACTCGTTATGTACATAGCTTCACTGACACAGCAAGGAGTTTATTAGCCATATAACCTTATCCCGCTGTTTTACTGCTGTCGAGGAAAATGTGGCGGGTTTCTCCTTCTTTATTTTTTTCATTCGTAGGTGTAAGTATACTAATATACTTATGCATATTAGCATTGACTATATAAATAGGTATATATAGTCAATGATATTAGTTATACTAGCCCATTTTATGTTTTTTCCTGTCAAATTTACCCTATGTATGGTCTGAACAACTCTATTTATAAATAGTTCTTTAAGTTACGACTAATAGAACACAAAATTCGAACATATCTAATGTTCTAAAACGTCCACAAACAATGGCTAGTGCATCAGCCAATCTATTTATAGAAAATGTTTCCGACTTTTTAACGCTCTCATGACCTTTTATTTGCTATTTGGTTGCTGATACCGTTTATTTCATATAATTTATGTAAAAAAACATATGGCAAATATAATCTGCATCGAGTAACTATGTCATAAATGAGCTATTGACATAATCTCCACTATAGTGTTGTGGCTGGAGCGTATTATGTAGTGGCTATAGTGACATAAGCACAGTGATTATGTGGTCCAGGTGTTACAGAATGCTATTATGGCCACCGCTAACAATATAAACCAATCAGAATACTAGGAAATGTTCTATAAAATATATTAATACGAAACTGACTCTTAACTTAAAACGGTTGAACGAAATTGAGTATTTCATGCGTACAGTAATAAATAAGGTTCTGGATAGTTGCACGAAGATAATCATTGTGCAACAATGAATATTTTTCAGTAATAGCATGAGTAAACGGTGGAAGTATACAAATAATGATACAGTTAAAAACAATAATGATGTATTGATAATTGTAAACACCTAAATCACCATTATTCGCGATAACCATTTTGGCCTTGTAAATGATTCAGAGTGGAGGATACAGGTATCAAAGGATGATTGTAGAAAAGGGAAAATAATATGATAGAAAATGATTGAGAAAAGGAACGGAGATTAGAAAGGGTAATGATAATGTACCATGACATATTTAATTTTGTATTTCTATTTTCTTGGTATGGAAAAGATAAAACCACATGTCTTACAAAAGTTGAATTTATTAAATAAACAATTAAAAGCATTTTGACACCATCTTTTGATCAACACATCAAAAGTACAATTATTTCAAAACAATAATTATTAGAAAATCTTATTATATTTGGAGAGAGAAATACCTTTAAAAAATTAATATATCCATAGCTAAATTTGTAAGACCCTCCAAGGTTTAGTTATTCTTTAAACTATTAATTTAATAAAAAAGACCAGAGAAACCCAGCCCGGACACTCAGCTGAGGGGAAGTATGCGCAGTTGCCTCAACAAAACAACCCAGCTCAGCAAATGGAGCGGACTACCAGCGATATGTCCTCTTCGTCATCAGGCAGTGGATTGTCGTGTCCCACACCAGTGGTCTCACAACTGGGACAAAAGACCACAGAAACCCAGCCCGGACACTCAGCTGAGGGGAAGTATGCGCAGTTGCCTCAACAAAACAAGGTTGACGTTTTCATGGGCAAAATTCCCCATATTTTTTATTTCTGTTTGACTTAACTTACCATTTAACAGTTCATCAATCTTCCATAAATTACTTAATCCGTGGTATGGTTTTCTCTTAAACATTAATTCATAAGCAGAAAAATTTGTACTCTCATTTAAAGCGGTATTAAGACTTTGTTGCATAAAAAATATGTCCCTATCCCACATGTTTTGACAGTTAAGCTCTTATCTGATTTTTTACTCTACCTATGTATCGTTCACATTTATTAGAACTAGCTCTGTAAAGTAGAAAATAGAAATACAAAATTAAATATGTCATGGTACAATAAATAGTTCGAAAGACCTGATGGATATAATGTTGAGAATGAGAAATATTGAGATTAAAGAATATGAACACCCTTTTAAAGGTAGTAAGAGAACAAGACACTCTGTTTTATTTACATTTCTGAAATACAACATATATTAATAATATAATAATAGGCAGTATTTAATCTGAGTAATTATATATGTTGGCTGAGAAAAGAGATTTAAGTAAAACAAAGAATATAAGTTTACTTGACATACCGGGGGCCTTGAATCCCCAGTGGATTCAACAAAACAGTTCGAAAATCCACAATTGGGAGAGGGCACAACACTTTGTGGGCAAGTCTTGTAAGGTTGCCACTTGAACTCTTGAAGTGAAAAGAATCGCTGAATTCTTTTTTTTTAGTCTTGAGAAAGCAGATAGAAGTGAATGATATGAAATGTCTTTATTGGTTTTGTAAGATCTCTTGATAAGATAGGTTTAACAATCTTGCGTATTGTAAAGTGAGCTGTTGAGAGTAGAGAGATGGTTGGGGTATTGGTAGTCTGAGAAAAGGCAGAACAAGTTTTCTTTGAGCAAAGAGATACGGGAGACGTATCATTCGGGACTAAAATTTTCAAGTATACTGAACACCTTGATTTCTATCTTGTGGCCTAAATTGACAAACACAAAAAAATTCCCCATTGTTTTAGTCTTATTAAATGTTTTATTTAGAATGATTTTAATCTTTAATGAAGGCGTTATATCCATGAAAAGACTAAAAAATAAACAATTTAAGTTGCAGTTGTAATCACTCATCCTAATCTTCAATACACTGCAGCTGCATTTGTTGTGTTGAAACAATCTGTAACAATCTGTGGTTTGCTGGTTATTACAATCTCGCACTTTGACAACGACAGATGTTTGTGGTGCCTCTGTTGCCTAATGACCATTGTATTTGTGGTGTTCTAACTGTGGTTAACTGCGGTTATACTGTAAAAGCTCGCACAACGGTATTTCGTCAAACTACAACTGTATTTAAAGCCTTCTAAGCCACACTCAATTTAGTAGCTCAAATACAATGTTGTAATTCTAGCCTAGGGTTGGGACTGTTTTTTTTTTGTTTTTTATAAAAAAACGGAAAAATAACTGACAGTAAAGTACTTGAACACAAGTAAATTTAATTCCGCACTGTGACAAATGCATCACTGCTCGTGGAATATCTGACGTTCACCTACAGGGGACGTCACGTAGGTGCGTATTTTATCGCAAGTATCAGCGAAGGATGGACGTTGATAGCGTGCGTGTTAGCCAAGACCGTTGATTAAATGTCCAATGATCAAAGACATATCATTTCATGTGATTTTGGAAATGTCTGTAATAAGTATGAGTTAAATAAGCGTAATAAGAATCGTACTTGAGAATCGTAAGTAACAGGCGAAATAAGTATCGTAATATTTCCTAGTGATAAACATTCACGTAATGTGTAATGTATATATCACGTGAAAACCTGTTTACTCTAACAATTATCTTATGCTGTGACATTCACATGACTATTTGCAATATCTGTCATACATCTACGACTCTATTTGTACTGTCACAAACTATGGTTTAGGGAGGTAATGTAATCTCTCACCCTGACAACGGCTGAATTAGAGGCGAATCTGTCAAACAGGTGGTACTCTTAGGTGTTTTATATGATAAAGTAAAGCGACACAGTAATCATGTGGTCCAGGTGTAATAATGGACAGCCGCCGACCTTTCAATTAGAACATCGTCCATTAACCGCTGCTTATCTGTCAATTAACACATTAGTACACAGATATTTGCGTCTATACGAATAATTGGTCCCAGTTTCAAAACTCATCTCCATAGAAGGCATGGATGTCATGTGTTGTGTGCTCATATCGGAGAAACCCATAACAAGGTTTGTAATTAAATGAATTTGTATAAATAAATACGTAGTTTTAATATAGGCCTAAACAAGACGAAAATATTGTAATACTAATTCTATAAGTTTACAAAAATTTAAATTTCAGAAAAACTTGTTTGGTATACTACAGCAAAAACAGCCATTAATGCGTGCGTTACGTATCTAAAGTGACTCTTTTACTCCTGATAGTATAATATACAGTAAGACAATCGCAATAGACGAAATGGTCGAAGCACTCACTTTTACTTTGCTTGCTTCTTATTTGGTGTTGTGTTTTCCGCCATAATGTGCAAAGCCTGGTCAAAATTATTTTGATACATTTTTGTTGATATTTTGTTATACAATTAATAACTGACTGGGACGTTGTCGTCGTCCTGTAATCCAGCTACTAGGAGGTCACGAATTGTGGGCATTTATAGGCATGCACTGTGGATACAATGTTCCCTGGTGTGGATTAACGTTCCCACTAGTTTTGTCTATGGTACTACTACTATTCGCAGTACTATCCTTATAATTAGACCAATTCGTTAATTATTACAAGTAAGAAATGTGGTTCAGATTCCACTATATACCGTAGGTCCTTTAGTTACCATTGGACTTATGGGCTATTAATTAACAGTTGTGTCTAAGAAACATGTCCGCCTTAGTAACCAACAAGACTACAAGATCGCGCCACTCATTCTACACTCATCCTTCACTCATATTTGGGTTATAATACGCACATTGTTGGCGTCCCCATCTTAAATAATTGATAGTTGATAACAAGTAAAAAAAAGGATTGAAAACGCTACGGTTGATTAAAAACTTGATTTTAAATTTATTTTGCTTCATTTTATTAAACTTTAGATATTTTATCAAATTTGATTATCCTTAATACAATTTTAATAGGTCATGGTACTGCAACCGAAGTTTGCAAGTGACCTTCCAATAATATCTCGTATACGACAAGCCAATGGGCCACGGACATTTAGACAGACTGTAAAGGTCGACTACATAGAGGTCGATATGTATAGAAGATAAAAGGCCAATGGTCCTAGTGCTACTGACACGATTGTTATTCACATGTCAATCGGATCTAGCACTCGACATGCCATAAGCCATCCTGATATTGCCATAATTAGTTAATCACCAATTGCTAATATTTGGCAGATGATATACTCGTATAAGGGGTTACGGTTACATTAGCATATTTGGTAGTTTAATATTTGACAAAGGTCATAGCGATATGAACGTAGACACCTGTTAATCATATTTAGCAGACGACAATTCAAGCTTGTCTTTGTAGTGGGATAATATTGATCGGTCCGTCAAATTTCTGAATTTATGATAATGTAACTTAACCTTAAACCTTATAACTAAATTATTAGTTTTAATGTAAAAAAAGTGTTTAAACATAAATAACGAGTTATTTCAATTTACGTACGTAAACTGTGTCATAAATTATATTTTATTCATTAAAAAAATTGTTTGAGAAATATATATTTTGTAAACATTCTTTAGGTTAGATTATAGTGATAAGGAAATAATTGAGACGTTTAGAAAAGTAGCTAGGGAAATAGGAAAAACCAGGGCGTAAAAAAAAAAAAAAAAAAAAAACTAAGAAAGAAAAGGAATGAAAACTTGCCCATGAAGGGGCGAGGAAAGGTTAGAGCGAATCTCAATGATCCCTATCGCTCAGGGTGGTTTGGGGAAGGAAGTCGTGGTGTTCGGCTTTTGGACACATAATGTGTCTGGGAACCTAATGCACCTAGAAGTAAGGTTATCTGAGAAAACACTATTTACAATAAATGTTGATTATAAAGATCTGTTACAGTGTGTACATCTTGAGTATTTCCATAATATTTGAGTCGAATATTTTAAAGTCATCAGAAATTAGACTGTTATTCGTTTTAAAATAACGCCTGTAATACTTAGGAATTGCTAAAGTTCGAGCAACAGGTACACTAGTTACTATTATTTAATATAATAATAATTATTACTAAAAATATAAAGATATTAACACTTTGTGATACATGAAACAATAACTTTTATTTAAAACATTACTGTATAAATAACTTAACTTAATAGTATTTACTTAACTTCTATAGTAAGCTTATTTAATTATTGACTATTACCAAAACTATTACTTTGGGTGAATACAATTTTTAGTTTTTACTTTTTAGGCCCCTAGAATTGTACATATTTGTCTATTTTATGCATATTGTTATTGCTTGTGACGATATCCAGTCCTAATTTTTAATTTGCTGAAGTACTGAATAAATGCCTTATTACTGTCTTAACTCAATCCTACGACACTGAAATCATAACAATTTACTAACAAAGAGTTATATCACAAAATCACTTAGAGTATTTAAGAAGAATACTAGTAGTAAAGCATGTTTGTTTTATAGTTAGCTCGAGGTTAATAAAATTTTTCAACTTGTTTCTATGGCGAATGGTATTGTTTCAAAAATTTGTAACCGACTTTAAAATGCAGCAATAGTTTCTTATATATTTTAGCTTATTCTTTATAAATAATTTGAATTAACCCTGGTCTAATTATAAATGATCTACATCACAATGACGTAACACTAGTCTTCCATACACTATTGGTGTCCGTGGCTTAGTCGGAAGCGCCACTGACTTGCTACTACCATAGACAACTAGAACTTTTGCCTATACTACTACTTTTTATCTTTTCAGTTCACCTTTGAACGGTACCGGCTCACCCTCTGCTTTGATGGATACGTCCCACGCACAGTCCTCATTGGATGACTAGCAAATGCAAAGTAAAAGAGGCCGCCAATCTCTTGCCCCTAGGTAAAAAACCTAACAATGAGTAAATAAATATTGATAGAAATGTTGTACTGAAATTGACTTTTCTTTTACTTGACTTTAATAATTGACAATTAAATATTGGTGCCGAAACTAAAAAAACCATGTCTAACAGAAAAAGTAATAGAGAAGTTAAACCTCCAAAAAGGTATACTCCTGATCAGAATGAAAATAATAATACAGACAAATTATTAAAGAATGTTTCTGAGAATGGAAACAATGTCACTCAAGGAGTAGCATTGAGACAAACCAGCATTACTTCTATTAGTTCAAGGAAAACAAAAAGTAAATCCACAACATCAAGCAACAGGAGACAAATGGAAATAGAACTTCAAAAGTTAGAGGAAATACAAAAACTGGAACGAGAAAATGAAGAAAAGGAGCTGGAAAGACAAAGACTAATGGAGGAGAAGGAAATGGAGCAACAACGGCTGGAAATGGAGCGACAACGGTTGGAGAAGGAAATGGAGCGACAACGGTTGGAGAAGGAAATGGAGCGACAACGGTTGGAGAAGGAAATGGAGCGACAACGGTTGGAGAAGGAAATGGAGCGACAACGGCTGAGAGACGAGAGGGAGCTAGAGCGACGTAAACAAATGTTGGAAATAAGGGCTTCTATGAAATCACTATCGGCAAATGGTAGTCAAGTCTGCGGATCTGAGGTAAGCCTAGGCCAAAGCTTAATATCTCAGAGAGAGGAGAGGGAATCTGAGAGTAAGGTCGTAAAGTGGCTGAATGATAATGAACCGACAGTTCATCAACCGCTATGACCACGGCTGCACAATTACTAGCAGATTCAGTCAAAAAAGCTATTCAACCAACCTCTCTTTGCCGCCAACAACTACCAAACTTTAGTGGTAGACCAGATGAGTGGCCTATGTTCTTTTTTGCATTTGAAAATACCCAAAAATTGTATTCTGATGATGACAATCTAGCTAGACTTAGAAACTGTCTCAAAATGGTGAAACCTCTTGTTGTTTCCAGTAAAAACTTGCATGCCATAATTAAAACGTTACAGATGCGTTTCGGTAAGCCCGAGTTTATCATTGAGTCTATGATGAACCAAACTATAATGCTAGCCCCTGTAACTGAAGACGATATTGTTGGCCTCATCGAGTTTTCTACAACCATTCTTAACTTTACCTCGACAGCTGAGTCCCTTCATATGGAGTACTACATGACAAACCCTCAACTACTCAGTGAACTGTTAGGAAAATTGCCTTATCAAATGAAGTACCATTGGGCTCAACATGTGAGCAGTATGTGTTTAACTAGACCTAGCCTCAGTGATTTTTCAGATTGGTTAGAGAGACAATGTTCTATTATGAGTATCTATTTTCATCCAAACAAGGACGTCCCGACTAGAAAGAAAAATGACTTCAAACCTGTGTTGACCAACTCTTCAAAAGCAGCAGTTCCCACAGTTGGCCCACTTACCTGAGTGTTTTGTGGTGGTAAGCACGATAATGACAAATGCTCTATACTTCGGAAAGCTGATATTTCCGAAAGGTGGAAAATGGTAGGTGAGAAAAAGCTATGCTTTTCATGTTTCAAACGACATCAACTTAAATTGTGTAAATCTAAAAGAGCTTGTAGTATAAACAGTTGTAAGCTATACCATCACCGACTCTTACATAACCCCAATCTTGAACGACCTCCAATGAAAGGAAATGAGGGAGAGTTAAAATCTAGAGATGAAGTAATCGGTAATCATTTTGAGAATAACATATCAAACCGTGTTTTGCTTCGTGTTTGTCCTGTCACGTTGTACGGTCCCAAGTCCCAGGTAGATACTTATGCCCTTTTAGACGACGGCTCGACTGTATCACGTCTGGATTCATCAATTGCCGATGAACTTGGTATCAGGGGTGAGATTGTTCCTTTGACAACATGTTGGTCTAACAACACAAGACATTTTGAATCTAAATCAAAGAGAATAGATCTAAAAATAAAAGTATTTTTATGAGGATGAAATCTTTACATTGAAAGGGGTTAGAACTCAGTCCACTTTAGACTTACCACACCAACAAATAAACAGTGTCAAATTGAGGAAGAACTGGCCACACTTAGACTCGATCAACCAACCACTTCCAATAGCGAGTGTCAGGCCCATTCTCTTGATAGGTAAAGACAATTGTAACCTTATTCTAACCCGTAAGATTATTGAAGGTCCTACTAACGCCCCAGTACTGTCATGGTGTTTCTTGGTTGGACTCTACATGGGCAGTGTGCACAATTCAGAGATCATGTGGATGAAAATTTTACCCTACTCTCATATGAAGAATCTTCGCTTCATTACATGGTAAAGAAATCCTTTGAGTTAGAGAAATATGGAGAAACAAGATCAAATAACCTGAAATTGTCCATAGAAGAAGAACGTGGAGTATCAATCCTTGAGGATACTATAAAGAAATCAGGAGATCATTACGAAGTTGGTCTTTTATGGAAAGATGACGAATTTAATTTTCCTCCAAGCTATGACATTGCTCTGAGAAGATTAAATAATTTTGAAAAGAAAATGGAATGAAATCTGGAATATAAAGAAGCTTACACCACCAAGATTGGCGAGTATATCGAAAAAGGATATATTACAAAAATTAGCCCTGAAAAAGCTGCTATAATAACAGGTCGAACATTCTATCTACCCCACTTTGGAGTATCGAACCCGAACAAACCTAACAAAATAAGATTGGTTTTCGATGCTGCTGCTAAATCTCACGGAGTCTCGTTCAATGGTGCACTACTCAGCGGCCTTGACTATTTGAATCCATTGCCATCTTTGCTGTTGAAATTCCGGTTGGGAAATTTTGCCATCGTGGGGGATATAAAGGAGATGTTTCACCAAGTAAATATAAGAGATAAAGACGTTGACTCACAATGATTTCTGTGGCGAAAAGACAAAACCAAACCCCCAGATACCTACATAATGAAAGCGATGACCTTCGGAGCAACATGTTCACCAAGCTCTGGACTGTTAGTTGTAAACCACAACGCAAGACAGTTTCAATCTTTGTATCCTGAAGCTAGTAATTCCATACTGACTATATAATATATGGGCGACCTGCTAGATTCAACCGACACAGAAGAGGAAGCTAAACGACGTGTTCAAGAAATAATTGAGATAGGCCTACATAGAGCTGGAGGGTTCCAAATATGTAACTGGATGTCTAATTCAAAACAAGTACTTTCGAAAATTCCTGAAAACCTGAAAGCTAGCCAAGCCAAACATTTGATGCCCGTCTTCCTACAGAACGAGTACTTGGATTATGGTGGGGCGCTGAATCCAACTGCTTTGTGTTTCATCGCAATGTCGAAAAACTTGAATTTCTCGAATCTGACTATCCGACGAAACGAGAGATTCTTAAAGCAGCTATGTCAATCTTCGATCCTCTAGGTCTGATTGCCCTTACCACAGTAAAAGATAGACTACTGGTTCAAGATATATGGAGAACGAAACTAGGTTGGGATAATGTTGTGACACCTGAACTTAGTGTGAAGTGGAAAGCCTGGATGGATGAAGACAAAAGAACTATTCCACCTAAAGTTAACGACTTGGCAATAATCGTAGACGAAGACAATGCACGTAACACATGGCCCCTTGGAAGAATATCTGTCCTGTACCCCAGTTGAGATGGACAAGTAAGAGTTGTTGACATCACAACACCAAAAGGTACTTTTCGGAAAGATGTTAATGACTAATTTCATATATATGTATGACCATTGATTAATCTTTATATTTCTGTTGTATGGTTTTTTTGTGAAGATTAATTATCACATGTTTTAATAATGTGAAAAAATGAGTAAATAAATAGTGATAGAAATGTTGTACTGAAATTGACTTTTCTTTTATTTGACTTTAATAATTGACAATTTAATATATATTAAGGTGAAAACTGTGGTCTCGAATAACTATGGAAAGGTACATTAATACTTGTAAACATAGATCTTGTTCATTCCAAATCAAGTGAAAGCAGAGATTAAATATATATATTCTAAAATGAGCGGTGAATTCAACAAAGTTCTGCTGCATGAAGTGGGAATTTGGGTTAACACACATGTAGGTTTAGCTTCGAAACAATTAGTTTTGTTTACGTTATCGGACAAATGCTGTTTACTATTGAAATGCTCAACTTTCTAATCTGCAATTAACCTACTTTATCAAATTGTTTTCGGTCATATTACTGAACTTAACCACCTGATTTAATTAATATCTTTGACTATCAATACAACAAAAAATAAGGTATAAAATAGAATTTTAGACACTTGATCATTCTGTTACTGGCTCACACAACTACATTAAAAAAAAAAAAAAATTGCTAGAGCTGGTCCATATAGATGGAAAGTCTACTTCAGTATCCAATAGTCAATGATAATATGCATACCATCGATGAGCCAGTAGGTGTTTATTGGTTTTTTGGGGTGATATAATAAATATCCCTCTTTTCAAAATGTAAAAAAATTTGAATGTTTTATAAATATGCTGTTTTTACATTTTAATAAGCACTTCTATTTTAATAAGTTAATTATAACAGTATTATAAAATGTCTTATAAGTCTGGAGTATAGCCAGATTTTAGCATAGTACTCTTTACTAGAAAATCTCTATCGTAATGACTATTACGATAGAGTTGTAACGTTGGAACATCAGAAATAAAATACTAACAAGATCTTAACATGACAATCAACATAACCAGTAACCATATTGAGCTGCCATTACAATAGAGATGAGCGTATATTACTTTTTTCATTTTCATTGGAACTTTCATTGCAACTCGACAACCCTGCAACCTCGATCCTTGCAAGAAGAAACTCCTTTTTTTAGGATCATCCGAAGAAAGAAGGTCAAAAGATAATCACTGCAAGGAAGCCGAATATTCATAAACTCCTCATTAAGAAAATACTAAATTTCCGCCAGAGATTGACCAGCTCGCTAAGGTTAGCCGGC